TCTATAGATTATAACCATTATCACTTATAAAAGTTAGTTACGTGCCAGACACAGAGGAGGACGTAATGTGAGTAAATTATTTATTTTTTATATGAAATATTAAAATAAATTCCTAACGACACTTTATTACTATAAAATAAAAAATACTTCTATTGAGGTTTTAATTCAATAAATACATGTTTATTAAGAGTAAAATATATGTTTAAATTTATAATTAAAACGTGTTCAATTTTATACAATTATAAGATGTTAAAATAAGTTGAAGACTTTATCACACTCAATTGTTTGCGTTGATAGTGTTATCCGAGATGGGTTAAATTATAAGGATATTATTTTCACTCTAAATTAACCACTCACAACAATAACGAGAATATTACATTCTAATTAATTAAATGCCATGAATACTATGTAATGAAAATGCTGAAGAGCTTTGCGAGACTTTAATTGTTTAAAATATGAGCTTATAACTAACACAAAATTAGGGGTAGAGGGGTTGCGACGCTAAAAAAAACAAACTTGACTTATCTATGGATTATAAATATAAAAGACATTTATGTTATTAGACATAATTGGAAACGAGAAAATTACAATTTATAAGTGCAGTAAAAACTAAAGGGCTCAATGTTGGCTTCAAGTGTACGATGATTGTTTACATTTGGTTCTAATTATACTTACCTTAAATATTTATATGTAACTTAACTAAAGTAAGGTTACATAACTCTCGTACAACTATAAAATGTATGTGTTGGTCTATTTCAATACGTAAATGAGGTATGTAAAACAACTTTGAATTATTACCGATACTAATACTAACACAATCACTTCAAGACGACGTAAAACGTAACGAAAAAGCCGTAGTCGTTAAATGGCCGAATTCTAATATAAAACAAGTCGTATTTTTACTGTAGAGACTAGAGAACTATTATTAGTACTATCTATATTCTGATAGCCTACCTTCCCGGGTTGAATATTTTCTCATTTATTTTATTAATACTAGCTGACCCGGCAAACGTCATTTTGCACATGTATATTATTTCTAGGAAACATTCTTTTAGTTCAATAAAAATAACTATCACTATAATGAAAAATAGGGGTTGATCGTAGAGGGGTGACAATTAGAGGTTGTATGTATTTTTGTATGTTGTATCATAATAAAATAAAAACAAAAGTTTTGCCTAAAAAATAAAAATTTATTTTGCCTAAAATTTTCATCCCCCTAAATGTTAAGGGTGGTCCCCCTTAACATTTAGGGGGATGAAAAATAGATGTTGTTCGATTATCCGACTTACTGAACATGCATAAACAATTCATAAGAATCGGTCGGAGTAGTATGGGAACGAACATTGTGACACGAGAATTTTATATTAGATATAACTTTGATTGATGTAAATAAAACAAGTCGTGGAAAAAACTTCTAATCCTCGCAATTCCTTCACCGTACGCGCATGCGTTCTAACATATTAAAATTTTACATCAAATGTAACATTTAAAATATGTAATTAGTTTGAATGAATAAATATATAATACTTGATAAAATACTTGATTAAATAAAGTTTGTTTTTTTCGACAGTGAAAAGTCATATGAAAGATCATATATACATCAGCGAATACGCATCCATATAATTACACGTTTGTCGAACTGGTCGCTCAATATATAATAATAAATAGTTATTAACCTTTAGCAAACCTTCACCTTGTGAGTAGTTAAATATATGCAATTCTATTAAAATTAAATAACATTATTTATTACATAGTAATAATTTAATTTGATAAAATTTCCTTCCAATAACATACTAACAGTAGTGTAGATGTTAACGTAAAATTGTAAAAACCGTTAGATTGTAATCTATCTCGCGAGATTATAAACTGTCGAAAGATTGTGAACTCAACGTACTGCTTACAATTTAACGTATTATTATTCGGTAGATTATAATCTATCGAAGTGAAATCGTCAAATTGTGAAACGGTACGCACCTCGCGCGCTGATTGGTCGGCTTTATAGTAGACCGTTATATGTCCATAGAGTTAGGAATGAAACAAGGGTATCTGTCAAATAAAATGAATGCACTTCAAAAATTAGTATTTATTACTTAATAGGTAATCAATAATTCTGACATCACATGATGAAAAAAAAATATATTAAAATAAAAAAATCAGAAACGTAACAATATTTTCTCTTCAAACACAAATTAAAATTGAAAAATTAAAGAAATTTTCTTTTAGAAAAAAACGATCACAAAATAAAATCAAAATTAAAAAAAAAACAAATCGAACGCAAAGGACGTTTTTGAAAACATAACAAAATTGTCTATTATATAAAAAATAAGAAAGTAAATTGCACCAATAAAAATGTTCCATTATTGTTGTTGCACGTCAACGAGTTGTGGCACCTGGAGTTACAAAGAACATTTCAGCTTTCTTTTTATTTTTTTGCAATTACATTTTTTACTATTTTCATTATGCCCGCTGTAATAGTTTTGTAACTCTATGGTATATTCTTCCTTATTAACAATACCTAATATTTCTGAATTTTGTTGATCGACAGGCTCAATATCCGACATTGTAAATACGAGAACACAAAGGTAAAAATCACGCAAATAAAAAATATTAAAACACGGAAAATGTATGTAATTTAGATTATGTTTGGAGACCAACACTAACATAATTATCATTCAAACTGCACTTCTTTGGTCAATCACAGATTAATTTTACTTCCACAAAAACTTCATATAACTTTTCACGTTCACTTTCAACATCCTAAAGCTGTGAGTTACTTTCAAGACGACATCAATTTACATTTACCAAAACACCGTTTGTTTACATTCGACAACAAACGAATTAATAAACAAATATGGTCGCCTCCATGGTATACTCCGTTCCACCAATCAGCGCGTGGCATAATCCGTTCCAACCAATCAGCGCGCGAGGTGCGTACCGTTTCACAATTTGACGGTTTCACTTCGATAGATTACAATCTACCGAATAATAATACGTTAAATTGTAAGCAGTACGTTGAGTTCACAATTTTTCGACAGTTTACAATCTCGCGAGATAGATTACAATCTAACGTTTTTTACAATTTTACGTTGACATAGACATTAGCAAAAATATTCCTATCTACGACGGCTGCTGCCAATATCTCTCACAGTATCTCTTCAAAGCAGAATTAAGAAAAATAAATTTGTCTTGGCTGTCAATGGGCGGCGGAATTACTTAACTACTTTTTATAAATAAATTATTTAATTAAGTGCAGAATGAGTTCCATAAATATGATTATATGCAAACAATCAAGGCATACACATTTATATATAAAGTATTAAGTTTACTTTGTTCTTTTGCAAGAAATAAAAAGACTTTTTTATTTTATTTATTTATTAAATAAATGAATATTTATATAATAGCCTAGTCATTGTTACAATTATAGTCGAATATAAACACTGTGGAATTAACTTGTATGTTATTTTCCCATTGATTGAAGTAGTTGTAGCTAATTATAATTGCTTCATGTTATTACATTTAAATTAACAATTGCTTTTTATAAGGCAGAATCAATCTGCATAGGATGTTTTTAAATGAAGACAGTGTAAACTCTATATAATGACACTCAAGGGACTGTGCAAATTTTGACGTTACGTTATTTAGAGTTGTCATTAAATGGAAAGAAGAAAAGTCTGTATTAGAAAAATAAAAAGTTTATTTCAGACAATTCTTGTTTGAACGCTAGTGCGTATAGTCTGTTATTTTCGTCTGATGTCTTTTGCTGCACCAGAAACTATGTTGTATTTTTTTACTTACTTTATTCATATCTTGCGATATTGAGGCGTCTTCGTGATAAATCACGCTCAAGCAATCCCAATTTTAAAATCGATTTCTTAGAAGGTTCTGTACGTATGATGCCGAGAGTCGAAGTTATTACAAGCTAGGCCATATAAAGCGACAAAATAACGTACACATCTCCGCAGTTTTAACTGATTTCGGCAACTTAAATATACTTTTTATCGTTTAATTGTCGTTATTGACGGTGGGTGTAATGCTATGCAGAGTGTATCATTGTAGGGAAGAAGTTAAACCAACCAAAGCCGAGTGATTTCGACGCTTTAAGGGGTTATTCGTGAAATCGAAGGACGTTACATGGAGTTCACACTGTATTTAAAAACATCCAGTGTACTTATGACAGACATTTCCTTGCAAAAAGCTAAAAAGGTAGCCTTTATTTTTTATGTACTTACTTACTCTGCTGGCCTAGCGACCCAAAGCGCGTAGCATAGCGTGCTTCCACTTGCCATTCGGGCTTATGGTTCGCGTGGGTAAGGACCTTCGAAAAAGTATTCGTGGCGTCTTTCAAACGATATCAAGGCCTACCGGATGGTCCGTAGTTTTAATACTCCGAACTTTTCCCATTTTCTTAAGATGAACAGCCTCTTTTATGTACAATTTACTATAGATCTCCACGGTATGCACAAAAAACATACGCGATCGAAACCGTCTTCGGTTTATTTAATTAAATACGCACATAATTGAATATAGGATTTTTGTTTGGTATAAAAACAATACTGATTATTCAATTCACCGAATTACAGACTAAGGGAGAATGTTTTCATCATAAAATGCTATGTATACATTGGTCAAACCGTTGTTAATATATTATATTATTAATAGTGCCCAACTTTTTCTTCTAATGTTCTTTAATAAGATAATTGAATCGTAAAAATAATTATTACAATTAACAGTTAAGATCATATAATAATAGCGTAAATAGATAAATAAATTTTAAGATAACATACAAACCCAATTTTGACCCCTCTGAGGTCATTTTATCTACCACTGTTAAGATTTGTTATTACTCCAATGCTCCAATTCCCAAAACCTTGATCTAATTTTTTCTATATTTACAAGCTTAACGCTAAATCTGATTAGTCCGACACACATTCTATTTTTAACAGTCTTTATTGAAACGCTGTGTGAGGCATACATCACATGTAAATATTTGTTTTGTAAATATGAATTGCAGGTAATTGGTAAAATTTATTTGGTAGAATAATGTACAAGTAATAGTTCTGTAAATAATGTAACAATTCTATGTGTACTTTTATTTTTTAAGACGTAGTAGTGTATGTTATTGTATGAAAATTTTAGTTCAGTTTCCGTTACTTCTTTTGTTTAGACAAAATAATCGTATCTGTAGGCATCGTTATTTGTTCTTGTTTTTTAAAATTATTACACGTCAAATTACGGTACAAATAACCAAGTTTGATTTTAAACAGGCTTTATTAATTTCATACGTAAACAATATAACATTTTTGATTAACATTAAAGATTTAAGTTGGCGCCCGGTAGATAGTACCGGTGACCCCAGAGCTGGTGCTTTCGTCGCTCATCGAATAAGTATCGCAATACAGCGAGGAAATGCTGCCAGAATTAAAGGGACCAAACTTTTAAAATTTGTTTTAATTTTCTTTTTATTTATTTTTATTACTAATATGTAGGTGAAGAAAATTTTTATCGTTATAGTATTCATTATAATAATGCTTTAAGGTTTAACAACATAATAATATTACATTTTTGAAAAAGATTATTTTTGTATTATATAAGAATAAATGATATCTTAGAACTTCTACTACATGAAATATAAGATAAAATATATACTACATAATAAAGCGTGTTTATTTACAATCTTTACAAATGTTGAATATACAGTTATGATTTGTTATATAATTTTTTTTCTTGTTACACGATATCCTAATTTCCTTCAGTACTATTGATCGAACCCCCTTCACGGGTATAGTTTATACTATATACCTATACCTATACTTATACATATATAAGTATAAAATAATTAGGCGTAATCCCGTTTATTACACTCTTAATGAGGTTTAAGTTTTTAAGTGTCTGTTTAGTTTCTAAATGGTGTTTTTATTCTTGCTATTTTGCCGACATTGTATTGATTTTATGTGTTTTTTCCTCGTTGTAATTTATATGTTTTAATATAATCATATGTTTGTGTAAATTAGTAACGTCATATTTCAACGTATAAATAAATTTATTTTATTTTCAGGGAAATCAATACATTTATATATCTATTTCTGGAGTTCCTATGGACACTCTTACGGTCCATTTTTGAAATCGTCCGGGCTATGATCCGGGTCGTGGTGCCATGTGAATCGAAGTCTGTCGAGGGGCAAATCGTTCTAGTAAGTATTAAGGGTTAGATTTAGAGTCGAGAGAGAGTCTAAGTTCTACTTCGGCTAAATCTCGACACAGAATTTCTGTTTTTTTTTACTATTTTATCAATTTTTAAACAATCTATATAAATAAAAATTAATCGCAAAGTATGTTGCATAGCGCGAAACTCGAAAACGGCTGCAACAATTAGAATACTTTTTTTTAATATACCTGGAACTCTGAGTGTTCGAGATGGAGAGAAGAATCGGAAAAATATTTTTATTAAGTTTTTTGTTTTTTATTAAACTTTTTTGGGCCCATGCCCATGGACACTCATTTTCGGCATTACGCATTTACGCACCCAGCGTAGCCGGCCTTTGAGGGTATGCTCTTTTTTAACAATTGGAGGTCATATATCCAAGGAAGACCGGGAGTCAATTCCACAGATCGCTAGTTCGCAAAAGAATAAGTCATGTCATGCAATTTCTCGTCCAAAGTTATTGCATTAATAAAGATGTTATAGATTTCTCTATTCATAGATAAGTGGTGCTGGCCATGGAATGGGGCGTGAGATGGCGCTGCGGTTCGCACGACTTGGGGCGACGGTCGTCTGTGTCGATATTAATCCCGAAGGCAACCAGGAAACAACGCTAATGATAAAGCAGGAGAAGGGAAATGCATATAAATATGAGTAAGTTTTAATAATTACTTTGTATGTTAAGAAAATTTTGAATACTGTATATTTGATTGTTATATTTAGGTTTTAATATGTATTATACAGTAAAATCTCTTTATTCGCGGGGTATACGTTCCATAAATATGCCGCGAATACAGAAACCGTGAATACAGAATGGTAATTTATATGGGGATACGTTCCTAGGTGCCAAAATAAAAAACACAAATATATAAGAAAATCAATTTTATTGATGTTATTGAACATTTTGATTATATAATCATTATCTTCAGGCTTAGGCAATGGTTTGAAGAATTTTGTTATTTTCTCTTGCTTGGCAGTTTTTAATAGCTCCTTCAATTCAGACTGATACTCAGCAGTCGCATTAGCAATTTGCCTCTTAAAATTAAGACTTCGTTCCATAAATGGATCAATGTTCATAAAGAAATCGCAAAGCTCATTTGCCATTCTTAAACCAAAGTCAAAGTTTGAACTTGCACGGATTCTTCTTCATTTTCCGCAGTCGGAGCAGGCCATAGTTTTTTCCAGCATGACTTCAATGTGTGTGGTGTCAGTTCGTCCAATGATTCTTTTATGTTTACGATGCATTTTGCTACGTCAAATTTCTTCCAGCATTCCATAACACTCATATCAGGATTACACTCCATATTATCTATATGATATTGCGTTAAACACCTATTGGAATTGTGTATGAAATTTTAGATCCGCGAATAAAGCAATTTTTTGCCGCGAATAAAGAAATTGGGTTGCATTTTTTTAATCCGCGAATAGTGAAAACGCGAATAAAGGAAGCGCGAATAGGGAGCTTTTACTGTATATGCATGTGTGTGAACTATGAATGGCGTTCCTACTAAAATTGTAACTTATAAAATATTAAATTATGTATAATAAGTAACAAACTGTTTGAATTTATTTAAATAATCTTAACAGTTAATCATATTGTGCATTTTAGGGGAAAAATTGTGAGAAAAATCATTTTTATTTAATTTATTAGGCCTTTTAACGGATATCGTCTCTCGCTTACCATTGCTGATAAGCCTTCAAAACGTTAATTTATTTAAAGAATGTATTAAACTAGTTCATATTCTTCAAATAATTTTACTTAAATACTAGCATACCCGACAAAGGTCCTGTGCACAGGTTTCAAAATTTGTTTAATAAGCTGTAACAAAAAAGCATCTAATTCTTAATCTAAACTTTTCTCGAGTCTATTGGAACACAAACATTTGTTTGTGTTTTATCACAATCGGTCTAGCTTTTGGAGTTTAATTCCAAATACACGTACAGAAGATTTTTATATATAAAGATTTACTTTTTACATTAAATGAAAATCGGCAGTCTAGCTGTTTAATGTTTCCTTTGAGTGATATTTTATTTCCAAATGTTCTGGCTATTTAAGAACATCAGCTGTAACTTTTCACAGATGTGACGTCACAGACCGTGCAGCGGTCATGGAATTGGCCGCGAAGGTTCGCAAAGAAGTCGGTGATGTCACGATACTGGTGAACAACGCTGGTATCATGCCCTGCAAGCCAGTGCTTGAGCAGACTGAAAGGGAAATCCGCCTGATGAATGATCTAAATATTAATGGGTATATATGGGTATGTGGCTTTTTTAGAGCAGGTTGCTCATCTGATGCTAAGTGATGCCGTCGCCCATAGACACTCGCCAGAAGGTTCTCAGTGCGTTAACGGCCTTTTAAGAATTGGTACATTCTCTTCTTGAAGGAGTCATATTTCTTCGTAAATAGTTCGGTCGGTTGCTAATTTCTCATAGTGGTTGTGCGCGGCATGAACTGCCTTAAATCACCCTCAGTTGCGGAACAACGGACGTCGAGGTGATACATATTATTTGGCTAGTTACATATTATGTCGTATCTGACATATTAGTTTAATCTTTTATTAATTTTGCAGTGCGAAAATCCTTCCATGTTATAACACTTTAAAAATTTCTAAGCTTTTTGTTGCGTACTAATGAATTTGCCGCGAAATATAAATCGTTTTCATATGTGTAGGAGATGGCGTGCCTCTTGATAAATTAATTCTTTTTGTGTTGGATATACACATACAATTCCCACCAACAGTTCCTAAGATACGTGCTTTCAAACAAACAAACTCTTTGGCTATATTTTATTCTTTAAAGACCGGTAACGCACCTTGGCATTGAGTATCCATGGGCGGCGTATGAGCCTAGTGCCGGTTTGCCCCCTCTTCTTAAAAAAATTACATTAAGTTATTTTAGATGTTTACTAGCGGACCCGAGAGACGTTGTTCTGTACATACGTTTTAAATACAAAATAAAAATCATCTTATAGTAATTCCATCCTCGAATCCTCTCACACTCTCTACTCACAATAAAAATTCATTTAAACGGTCCAGTTTAGTACGAGTTTCTTTACAAACTCACGCACAGAAGATATATAGATTTATACAGGTTGTGGTGTAATGGATAATATGATTACGAAAAATATGTTTTATGTGTAGGTTTTCGAGGCATTCGACATTTTCGCAAATTTACAAAAAATACTTACACTTTTTGCCACTCTTTTTAGTGCCAATACATCTATATGTATCTGAACCGTCACAAAGTCTTCTACCCGCAGGTACTATGTTATACATTCATTATGACATAGCCTGTATATGTAAATATTCTAAGTTGAAATGTTTATATATTTCTAACTATGTTATGTCTTCATTCATTGAACCACTAATTAATGTATAATTATGTCATTATAAAAAAAAATTGCTTAACATATAGATCTAAAGTTAATATATATATATTGTAGATGATTCAAGCATTCCTACCATCAATGATTCAACGGAATCACGGGCATATAATCTCCATGTCTTCGATGGCTGGAATCATGGGAATCCGAAATCTGGTGCCGTATTGTGGATCTAAGTATGCTGTGAGGGGAATCATGGATGCATTAGCTATGGAACTGCGAGCTGATAAAAGGGATCTTAGCGGGGTGAGTGACTAAGCTTATCAGCCTACTATCTAGTGTCCACTAGTGTTCGACGACTTTACATCTCGAAGATCGTCCATGCATTCGACATGTTAGCTACTTAATTTATTTAACGGATTTAACACAATTATTATACATGACTCAATGTTCAAGTACTGTTCAGCAAACATGGTCAGGGCGTATTTTATGCTCAATGTACTCACTGGAATTCTTCTAAAGGTACATTCCTTTTTTTTAAACGATTTCCATGAAAATCTTTTTTAAAAGAAAGCATACAAATTATCGTTCAAAGAAAGATAATAAGAACGTTTTGTACATATGTGAACGTACAAACGGATAGATAGGTTTTTATTTTTGTGGTCGATATCTTCTTATGATGTTACTGCCATTTACGTAGATATTTTTTTATTTGATTAAGCGGATGTATTCCCATAATTTATAAATACAGCCAAATAATGTGCACTTACTTATACACATTGTATACATATTTTTACAGTTTTTTTTATTTAATTACCAAAAAACGTTTATTAACACCTAAACATTCAGTATTTACAAATTTCTCATCCTACATAGTAATAACAAAAATAATTAAAAATGTATAAAAAGAAAATTAATACATATTTAGGAAGTTTGGTCTCTGTGGCAGTACCTTTAACGCTGGCAGCATTTCCCTGCTGTATTGCGTTGCTAATTCGTTGAGCGAGGAAAGCACCAGCTCTGGGGTCACCGGTACTATCTACCAGGCGCCAACTTAAATCTTTAAATAGCATCTGTGCACTTGAACCCCACGGCCCAAGAGATAATAATATATAATTTACTTACTGTAAAAATAAAATAAAGGATTTTGATTTTTTATAATCTATCAGTAACCAAAACCCACCAACTTGGTAGTCAGGGCCTCAGATTTCTGTATCTGTTTCATGATCATTTATTTATCTAATAGGCAAGTTGGTGATTAGCCTTCTGTCCCTGACGCACGCCCTCGACTTTCTACTACTCTAATGCCTTGATCACACGTACCGAGCAAACCGGCGAGACAGTAAAATGTCTCTCGGCCGAGACAGTGTAGTAACCGAGTAGCTGTTCACACGCATTTTGAAATCATTCAGTTCTATTAACAAGGCCTTTAAAACATTAAACAACTGCACTCAAAAAAACCACGTGCGGCGTCGCGACAATCATGTGGCCGAGTGGCGAGCGGCGAGACAGTGTATCTTCAAACTTCAAACCTGCCGAGTGAGTGAGCGAGACAGTGCGGGGAAGCGGGAGGGTGGAGGAGGGTGGTCACTCGGTCTAGTAAGTAGAACGGCCGCCGAGCTATTGTCTCGCCACTTCTTTCGGCCGAGCGCTCGGCCGAGCACTCGGCGCTATGTTTATACGTACCGAGTGCTCGACCGAGAGTACTGTCTCGCCGGTTTGCTCGGTACGTGTGATCAAGGCATAAGCCAAGCTGGTTTCCTCACGATGTTTTCCTTCACCGTTCGAGAGAATGTTAAATGCGCACATAGAAAGAAAGTCCATTGGTGCACAGCCGGGGATCGAACCTACGACATCAGATATGAGAGTCGCACGCTGAAGCCCCCATGCGAACACTGCTCTACCTGCACCAACTCTTTTATAAGAGAATATATCTTAAATAATATTATCGTGTTTTAGCTACGTGCCTATTTTTATAGCTTCTTTAGATGTCGATGCATACACTTACATAACCACAATATTGTTTAATGTCCACAGATTAAGTTAACAACTGTTTGCCCGACTATAGTTAACACGGGACTTTGCAAAAAGCCACGAATTCGCTTTGAGAAGTTGTTCAAGGTAGTGGAGCCGGGTGAGGCAGCCGACACCATCATCAATGCTATGAGAAGAGACCAGATTGAGATTACGATACCTCAAGATCTCCATTATGTTAATAGGGTAAGATATACATTACCATTTCATTATTGTTTTTATCATGAGCTTTGTATATTCATCGATACCATAGATTAACGTAAAATAAGCTTAGAAAAACCCTTTTTTAACGAATTTGAAGTTATATCTTATTATAAATTTACAACTATTTTACATAATTTCATTTCCGTTAAAAAAGTGTTTTTCTATGTCTAAAAGTTATGTCAATAAAAGACAATACTAAAATAAGCTTGATATAGAACAAATAAATCAAGGTAGAACCCTATTTACATGGATAACATTTAATTTATACCTGAACACATCAAGGGAGCATCAAAGTACGAACATTTGGAAAAGTGAGTCAAATATTCACATAGAAATCTCGATAAATTTGTCGAATCACGACCTTAAAACAGCTCCAAATGTTTTGGAGCGTGTTGATTTCCTAAATCGTTGGAGTTACGTCCCGAGGGTATAGCCAGACGAAGGCACTCTCTTCAACTATTACATTACATTTATTCGTTACCAAGCAATTAACATTTAATTATTCCGCTTATATTCTATTGTATTGCATTTTTTAAGGAAATAGCAAAAAGGTTAGTCGACATCACAGGAGACCGAGGAGCTGGCAGCTACCTCGGACAAAAATAGAAAATGTTATTGACTATCATTAAATCTTAAGCATAGGCTTATTACAACATAGTATTTATAGTTTAACGAATCCTAATTTATTGCTTTAATGTCATACATTAACAACATTAAAGCACAACTGATTTAGGAATAGCGATTATCTAAAACTGTGCCAAGAACCGTTTAGAATGTCTTCACTTGTGTCAAAATGTGTATTGTCTTAATAATATAATAATATATTATAATTTGTGACAAAACTTTGTACTGTCTTAAACCGTGTCAATATGACCATCTTCAATCGATTCAAAACTCGTTTTCATTAAATTCAATATTTTCTTTCAGTACCTGTTCCGTCTTCTGCCATTCCAAGCAGCTTGTCTGTGGTCAGAATTCTTCGATGCAGGGGTTGATGCCGACGACTGATTTAAGTTTAATATCTTTTTGTACAAATAAGTGTTAATGTTACAGTTTTATAATGTTGTTTAATAATAATAAATATTTTTACAAATTTCAATACTCTTACTTCTAGAAGTAACGCGAAGCGAGGAAAATAAAAATAATTCTTTCATTTATAACCACACTGCATAATATTAAGCTTACATAAACATATAACGTATATATTTAATCAAAGATTATATTATTATATAATTATATTTTTTAAATTATTTTCTGAACCCACTTTTGGTTTAATTTTACAATATAGCTTAATCTAAATGAGATTTCTCGCTTAAATTCTATATTTACTAACATAAGTCTACGCTTCCAAATGTAAATTGTCGTTAAACGTGAGGAAGTCCCAGTCACATGTCATAATGCCTTGATCACACGTACCGAGCAAACCGGCGAGACAGTACTCTCGGTCGAGTACTCGGTACGTATAAACATAACGCCGAGTGCTCGGCCGAGCGCTCGTTCTACTTACTAGACCGAGTGACTACCCTCCCGCTTCCCCGCACTGTCTCGCTCACTCACTCGGCAGGTTTGAACGTACACTGTCTCGCCGCTCGCCACTCGGCCACATGACACACTGGGCTGGTGACACTTGATCCCCTATTTTTTTTTTTTTTTTTTGCCGTCGTTGAATGTATTATACTTCTCAGTTTAGAAATTCAATATTTATCAAACATTCGAAAGAGCCCAATTTATTAATATATTTCCGGTCATAAATTAATAAATAATCAACTCTTCCTGATATAATATCAGGGAGAGTAGTTTTCGGGCCAAATACATTTTACTGTCTCGCCGGTTTGCTCGGTACGTGTGATCAAGGCATAAAAGTGTGTCACACTATCTCAGCGCAGTGTCACCGGTCCCTACGTTGATAACTTTGTGCAAAGTGTTTTAAGGAACGTCGCTGCATGACGTCTTGCCGGCACACATTGCCCGAACGCTTCTAAAAGCAAAGGCTCTTGATGAACTGCTTCTCTGAAAAATTATATTTTTATGTACTTTGATCTTTGATCTCTGACTCGATTCTCAATTCGTTCTGGACGGGCAATGGGCAGGAGGCTCACCTGATGTTACGTGATAATGGCACTTTTAACAATTGGTACGTTCTTTTCTTGGGTCCTTCAAGAATAACTTCAGTGGGCAGCTGGTTCCACATGGTGGTGCGCGGCCTTAAATACGCTCAGTTATAGAATGAGGGACGTCGAGGTGATACGAGTGGTATTTTTTGTTCGTCTGATGTTACTCAGGTGCAGATAATCCGAAAAACTCCTCTGATCACTCTCCATGGTAAATGCAGAGAAAACCCATATCCCTACGCAACGCCAAGGGATTAAGCCGGAATGTAACTGATCATCGACGTTTCGAATCGCACTTCGTTGAATACGTATCCGTTTGGACCTAAACAATATTGGTTCCACCGGGAATAATACCCACGACGACTAAGTATTACTTCAGGTGCGTTCTTCGCAATTCGATTAAAATTTAAAAAAAGAACAGTGACATGAAGAAAAAAGATTCAAATGTATGTAAAGGTCTCGGTAAGAGAGAATTATGACGCAATTTATATTAAAGTCTTACATAGGACAAATACGAATTTCTGGTGCTTGCGATAACGCCATTTTATGTTTAATCTATTCATTACTCTTTTAAAATAGATTCCAGACCTGTAATCGTCAATAGAGACTTTTCCATCCTTATCAATATCCATTTTCCTAAGCACTAGTTCAACCAAGTCACGCACACCTTCATCGGGGTCTTCATCCCCTGGTTGCTTCAATAGGGAATTTCTGAAATTTGTTAACATTATTATTGATTTACGTCTTGGAATAACCTAGAACTTAGACTTTTGTTTTTTTAACTTGTCCCGGACAAGAAAAGAGCGACCAATTCATATATGCTTACAACGCGCTTGCGAGCCTTCTGGTAGTGTATGTACCCATGGGCGGCGGTATCAGGATACTCCTACCCGTTTGTTCTATTGAAAAATCTGTAGACCTATTGATTTTAAGAAAACCAACAAAAATATAGTCCTAATGTGAAATCAATATTAAACATTCATAAATTATTTACAGGCAAGTTAAAATGGTAGTTTCTCACATAGCATCTGCTGTTAAGCCACTTAAATCGTCGAGTAAGAAAATAGTGTGTCAAAGTCGCGTTTATATCCGTTAAGAGTTTTTTTTCACTTAGGTATATCAGTAAAAACAAATCATTGTAAAACTATTATTTAACCATCGCTATTCGTTAAACAGCACCGTAATTTTTTTAGAATAACTTTGGTTACTCTAAAAAGACAATTTTACTTGTCACACAACATAACAAGTCACTATTTTCTAACGTCCACAATTATAAAAAATATAATCGTACACGCAGCCCGCACTACCAGGGTAACAACAGGAAGTTGGTTTGGGAGAAAAATGCTCAAGATCGAGAGTGAAGGAGCTAGTTGGAGGGGGCCAATGGGGCTATAAGTAGTCATTGGTGAAATATACTGTATAACACACTGTATCTTTTGTAAAGATGGATAAATGTTTCAAGGAATAAATGAGGCTTACTTATTATTAAAGTCTAACTTACTTGAGTAACAAAAACATTTCATCCTTAGTTATGTAACCATCCGAATTTAGGTCGTATACACCGAAGCAGTATGTTCGTTTCTCTTCGTTACTGCCCCGTAACAACACACTTAAACCCTTGGCCCAGGCCTCAAACTTTATTGCCCCCTCTCCGCCATTTACCCCTCGATCCCAGGAACTCCATATTCGGTCTAGGACTACTTCTTCAGTCACTAAATCAAAGGTGTTATGCATGACGTCACGGAATGTGTTCTGATCTATACCCTGAAAATATAAAAAAAAAACAAATTGTATTTGTAATATTATAATTGCAGTAAATTATAATGTATTAGTACGGCTTTTATGTAAGATATATTACACCTTCAAGATGTCTACCATCACGGTGAATGCACTCTTCAAAGCGGACTAGCGAATTTGCGTAGACATCACTACTGTCGTTATTTTAGTCTTCAACTGCTCAAAATTCGTAAGAGGCAGTGGCGGATTTAACAGCAGGCTTAGTAGGCTGGATAAAGATTTTTAGGGTGGCAAATGTGGGAACTGATTTTTGAAGTTATACTTCTGTAGGCGAGTTATAAAAATTTATGAGAGTGGAATTTTACATTGAAATCAACAGAATGAAGTTGCCCACGGAAGATGCTATGGTATTGGACATAATTTAAAAACAACATTCGAATAATAATAGAATTTATGTTACACTTAATGTAAGAGAATAATAATAAATATTTATTTATTTAATTTTTCAAATGTAAACTGAACTTTATTGACTATAATGACTCCTTTTCCAGTCTTTGATTATTTAATTGTAATTAATTATTTGCATGCAATCAAAAACTATTTTTAATAATGCCAAAGAAGTATAACTTCTTACGCGCGTACATAAGTACACGCACCCTTTTTTTTCTACCTGATGACGGTTTTCTGATGTTTTACAAGTAGAAGTCTGCAACAAATTTTAGCCCAACCCCCAACCAGTAATCGACCTCTGCGCCCTCAGCTGACACTATGTATGAGTGAAAAGAGCGAAATCGCAGAAAGTGTATTTCTTTTTTTCCCTCTTCCTCCTTTTAACCTGTACAATGTACATGTCAGTCCTACTACTGGTGGGAAACTGCAAAGGGGTTTGTGTGAAATTATTTTACGTGCAATTACGTGTAAAGAAATTATTGGATTCAAAAAATAATGTAGGACATGACAATTATAGAGGCAAAGCGGCTTATGATTTTTCCCGGGAACAACTGTTTTAGTGTGTCCATGGATGCGATTAAAAAACTGCTCTGCTAAACAAAAAATAAATTTAAAAATTTGACAGTGGCAATTTAAAACTTAATAGAACTTATCATGCTTAATACAATGGTTCCTTCTGTTTTAATCTCACCACCACGCAGACTATAGGTATTATATATATATAATAGGTCTGATATCAGTTGAAAGATCATTTATTAATGTCACGAAAATTTCCTTAACGATATTTCAGAGATATATGTCGTCGAAATATTTGGTATTACGGCCGTAATTGGTCACGAATATGAACTATCACCATGTGATTGCGTGAGGCCATAGCATGTATTGTGTTTTATGATCACCACTTTTTGAATACTTTCTTTGCGTTTACTACACAAAAATACTATATTGATAGTAAAAACTTTTTAACTGTTAAAGACCGGTAACGTACTCGCGAATCTTCTGGCTATGTTTGTGTCCGTTTGCTCCATTGTTGTATATTTAAAAAAAAAACCGTATTTGTTTAGACGGTTTAGAGTTGCAAATTGCTTTATAGCCAAGTAAGATTTGCTTAATAGCTCATTTACGAAAATGCCTGTATAGTGCATGAGATAGAGATATATGTGCGTCTATTTTTATTTTTATCTAATAACAGAATAATATAATCTAATCTCATACCGATATTAATATACAATTATTATTAAATACTACCTACATAATCATAATAATAAATAAAAATTGATAAATAGTAAATTAAAAGAAATTTAGGTAACGATTCGAAAACGATGCGCCCAAATTTGGGGTTGCGGGGTGGTGAGGAGGGGGGGTGTAGTAATCACCCCCCACAAATTTTGCGCGCCGGAAACAAAAATTTTTTTTAAAAAATCTCACCTATTTATCTAAATAATAATTGTTTATTCAGCCCTCGGCAACTCGGCTTCTTGGTCGCCTTCGGCGACCAAATATTCATATACTAACCTAACCTAGCCGATCTAAATAATATTTGTTTTTTTGGACAGCTCCGGCGCTACGGGAAATGCAGCCCCTCCACCCTTGCGTACCAAAGCACAGGCATTATGAAAGCTGTAGCGGCTGAGGCTGGTCGCCAAAGGCGACCAAAAAGCCGAGGTTGCGGAGGCTCTTCCTCCGCGCCTCCGATTATTTATATACACT